AAATATAAAATGTAATTTTAATTAACATTTACATGATTTGTCAGTCCTTTTGATAGTTTGTTTTCATTAAAGGGCCGATGGTGTGTTGCTATAAATTATGGATTTAGAAAATTCCAACTGTTGTAATGAATTTGTATGAACAAGATATAATAGTGTAATAAATTGTCAATGTGACAACATATAATACAGCAGAGGGGGCAAAAGTGCAGACATTTGTCACGTACGTAGCAGAAAAGATGTGCTAAAAAAATACTCTGGCAAAACTGGGAGTACTAATTCAACTTCTTCAAGGGAAAAAGTGTATTTTAAATTAATAAAATATTCAACTTAAACATCTGTTATATAAAACTCGACTAAAGAAAATAAAGGGAATTTTAAAAAGACAGATCTATATTTTCTCTTGCCTACATTGTAGAGCGGTGACTCTGCATACACACTTAAAAGCATAGGTTGTAACGGTGCAACATGGGCAAAACAATTACAAAGAAAGATGTCACGCTTTCCATTTGTGAGCACTTCATCTGTAAGTAGAGCAATATCACCACCTGCTGGTGCTCACAGTCAGACACACACTTTTCCTCTGACCTCATTACAGAAACACTAGAACAGCGATCCCCAACCACGGACCTGTTTATGTCCGACAGTATTTTCACTGACCGGTGTTTAAGGTGTCGCGGATAAATATAACAAAATAAAAAGAAAGAATGTTTATACATATCACACGGGAAAATCATAAATTTCACACCCGAGATTAAGTTATCACCGGTGTTCTGGGAATCGATCCTACCTGGAAAAACATCCTACCCAATGTTTCTGCGCAGACGCGGCGCATGCGCACAACACCAACGCCAAATAACACCGGTACCAAACGACTCACGGACCGTTTTTTGGTTTTTTTAATCTTCGTCCTGTATTTAATAAATTCAAAATGAAGTAAAATCGCTAAATAAGGCAATATTTTAATTAGGAAAAAAGAGCATTTATGTCAGTCATCATTTCCTTACATTATATTATTAAACTGTTTTAAAATCCAATGACTTGAATCCCAAAAGACTTACTGGTGAAAACTTCTTTGATTGCCGATGCCAAATCATAATATTACAAAAAGGGAAAAATAACACTGTTTGTTGTTTAAGGATCACCAAGATTACAAACGTGCTAAAAAATAAAGCCAAACAGTGCTACATGATCAAAAATACAATCGTGAAGAAGAGAAGGGTTGAAACTGATTAATAAAAAAGTCATTTTGACTCAAACCTGAGCCCACCTCTGTTTGCAGCTATTTATCTTTAGCTCATATTGATTTTAGTCTAAACTCTAACTCATATGTAGGGGAGACTGGGGATAGTTGTAACATTTTTGACATTTCTGTTTGTAGCTTGGAGCTCTTTTAAGGTAGTGGATTCAAAATGTAATGCAAAGTATTTACATGTCTCGGCTATTAAATAGTGCAGCTATTTTCTCTGCAGCACAATTACCCATTGC